AGCCGTTCGATTCGAGTATAAGCTCGTTAAAATCGGAGACCGTTTGGTAACTCAAATTGTGATTCAAATCTTCCAACAGCACTTCGAGTCTTCGATTTGGACACATTTGGGCTCGGATTGAGTCAAATTTGGTGTCGTTGGGTTCGTATTTCCGAGACGCTCAATTCGACTGTAAGTTTGCTGGGCAAACCAGAGTTCAAATGGTCTCCGAATTAATTTTTGAAGTTTCCAACTTGATTTTGCATTGAGATTCGCGCCCGTTTAAGATAATTTTTGACGACGTATCAATTATATTTTTCATCTATTATTTTCGGTGGGATTTTTCGCCCAGAATGAGTGAATAACTGGCAAAAAATTACACCGACATTCTCCAAAAAAACGTGTTTTTTTTCTATTCCAAAATCTATCTAAAATCTGTTGGAATAATTTTCGTCGGAAATATTCTGTCTCTAAATTAGTTCCGTCTCTATTTTTCGTCATATTATATTCCGTCAGATTATATTCCGTCGGAAATATTTTATTTTTTTCAAGGTTTTCCCGCGGATATGTGCACAAAAAATAATTACATTTAATGTAGTATTAATTCTATACAAAAGTCCAGCACGCACATAAATAAATATTGTAAGAGATAATTCCATGTTTACTTGAAAAAAACCAAAAAAATGAAACATCACTTGGTCTAGCCCAACTAAAACAATTCCGTAAGTGTTTATTTTAGATTATAAATAACGGTTTTCCATATATAATTGAGTAAGATATTGATACAATACAATATATATGAATTATCTGATATGAGTTTAATGGAGGAAGTTAAGGTCTCTTGAGGCATTTGAGTTGTCTTCAAATGATCATTTCGGGCGGTTCGATCATTTTTCTTTGAGTAGAGGGAAAAAAAAAAAGATAAAGAAGCCTATGGGCTGCTGGCCGGGATTCGCCTTAGGAGCTGCGACGGGCTTGACACAGTTCGCTATCGAGCACGGTCCGTACACACCGCTATGGAGCACTGAGGGTTTTTGCGAAAGGAGGAGAGCCAAATTAGGGATTCGTCCGATTCGCTACGTTATAAATTGAGTTAAAATCTTCCACTGGTTAAGACCGGTGCAAAAGGTATGTTTTAGCACCGGTTTCAAAACCGCCTCCGCACAACTGAGGCAAAAAATGTTATTTTTTTAGTAGTGCCAATATAAATAGCTACTACAATCGTTTATGACTCAGAAACAATTAGAGGCCCATCTCAATTGAAATCTTCTTTTGTCATATATTCTAACAGAAAAATTTCCCATGATCATTTATGACTCAGAATCAAGAGAGTATTGCATATATAGAAGAACACAAAACTCTGATACAAATCTTTTTCCTTAACATTTCTCGCTACTATGATACTATATTCCATCAACAGGACAAAAAGTAATCAGATAATTTGCCCCAACGCACGTAAAGGTGCTCGTCGGATCATCATAAGGGTAGCTATAAGCGCGCGGACAAGCATCCTTAAACACCCTCGAGTAGTCCGTAGCAGTACACGTGTGCGGATCACTGTACGCCCCCGTACAACAGTACTGGTCCGTCTGGAAGACCAAGCAGGGACTTTTGCAGCCTATCACTTCGCCGTCATCAGCCGTCTGTTGCAGCTCCACCGGACACAGCTGATTAACGTCACTGGCGCAGCCGGTGGCACTGCAGCCGGCGACGTCCGGAACGATCGATAGTGGTAAGTTGAAGCCGTCGACGAGGCTGGTGTCGTAGAAGTCGTTGCCGTCGGCGCCGTCGAGAGTGAACTCGGCTAGGGTGGCGGGAGGGATACCGCCGGCGCCGGAGCAGGAGATGGAGCCGGAGGCGCAGTCGCCGGAGAGGCACGAGAATCTGCCTGTGGGGTCGGTGGAGCAGTGGGTGCGGGCCCAGAGGCGGCCGGACCACGTAGGTGGGGCTGGGAGGTAGACGGTGGAGCCGGGGTCGAGGGTAAAGCCGGTGGTATCGAGTAGCGGGTGGCCGCCGCCGGAGAGGGTGGCCGGCCAGACGGTGAACTCGCAGTTGTTTGTTATTGTGAATGTGATGGCATTGACACCTGCATATAGTTACACTCAAGTAATTAAATTTACTTTAAAAAAATAAAAATAAAAAAATAAAAAAGTATTTTTTTTAGCAAGAATGACGGAATCATTATTCTAGGATTTTTTTTTTTTTTTTTGTGAAAATAAAAAATAATGTTAGCGTTCAAGGACAGAAATTTTAATGAAGCAATCAAAAGAGGATACAATCAGGCAAAAATTATATTATATTATGGCAAATAGTTGATTAAAATAAGTTTTTAATTTATAAATTTTATTTTGAGAAGAGATTAAAATATAAATTATTAATCAAAAATATATATTACATTCATCTCAAAATAAAATTATTAAATTTAAGCTTTTTAATAGGTTTTAAAAAGAATAAAAGAATAAACATCAGAAGCATGATCAATATTTTATGATAAAAAAAATAAAAATATAACTCTTATTCCAAATATTTTTCTATAATTTACTATTTTATTTTGATTTATTATTCTCAATTCAACTTATTTTCATATCCAAGAACTCTTGATTTGTTTGCCAATTAATTTTTAATTATTGTTTAATTTCACTTAACATATATAAGAAACAACAAATAACAATAATGTACAACATTAGCATAGCATTTTATGTCATTTTTATTAGTCTTTATTACATGAATTAAGCTTTTAACATAATTTAATCAAATTAGGACGATAAGAGAAGTAAATATACCCACCTTGAAGAAGACGAAGAAGAATTTGAGAGGAAACAAGAACAAGGAGAAGAGCTTGTGTTGTTGTTGCCATGGAGGAGAATTGAGATTAGAACTTGATTGAAGGAGTAGCTATGGCTTCCTTTTCATTGAAGAATAGGAGTGTGGAGCAGAAGAAAAGAGGACAAGGTATTACATAGCCAGAGCGTTGGCTTTTAAAGTAAATTTAGGTTAATGGATTGGAAGGTTTTCAATGCATAGAAAATTTATTTTTTGTGGACTCCGAACTTATCCGGAGGCCAATCAGAACGAGTCACGTCACTTTTTTACGCGTTCTAGTTGGTCTCCGGACCATCCGGTGTATGCACAGAATAATTTCTCCAATGTATGGGAGGAAAAAAATAACAAAATAATGTTCTACACTAAATATTTAATAATATATTTACTTTATATGGCATATTGCTTTCCTATTTTTGCTTAAGGATCTATCCATTTTATTGATATATGATTGCGTGTTCGGCTATGAAAATGGGAGTTTATCCAATGCGGTTGACAGCCCTTTGAATACTTGCTATTAGTAGAATTAAAATATTAATTACTGAATAAAATAGTTAAATTATTATACAGAATATCTAAATTTGTAAATAGTACAAATAAATTATTAAACATTTACTTATATTATTTAATAGAGAGATTTACATACATACCACTTTATTTCATATTATTTACATATGTAACATCTAAAATTTTAATATTACATACCTACCATCTATGGAATAAACATGAATGCATGAAATAAAATATTAAAAGTTATAGGGTGTTATAAGTGATAAGAATAAAATATATGAGTGATATATTTAATATTAAATTTTTATATAAGTGATAAAAATATAATATTAAAATTTTAGATGTTAGATATGTAAATAGCAAAAAATAAAATGGTATGTACATAAATTCCTCTATTTAATAATTTAATTATAAGAAAAATAATATTATAATGTATAAAATTAAAAATAAATATAAAAAATAGTCTCATCTTGGTGGTTGATATAAATTATATTAAATATATTAATACAATTTTTTTAAGAGTTCATATAATATTGAACCGAATGACTGAATCTAGAAAATTTATCATGAAATCCACCATTAAATCAATCGGTTGAATCATCATCATATCAAAGATTTTGAAATTGATTGCACACTTTAAATTGAAATTAAAATTTAATGACATTTTTTTTTGGTATGCTTAGGTCAATTAAAACAAATTCACACATATCACATATACGAGACTCGAATTCAAGACCTCATGATAGATAGCCAAAAGACCTAACCAACATATCAAGATGAGTTTGCATGTGATATGATGGAATCTTAAAAATTCATGGACTTCTATGCATACAAATGTCATTATAGCAATGAACTGCAGAAGAACACCTCTTACTAGCAGCGATGAGATTGAAGGAAATTAATATTAAGAAGTTCAATTTAAATTTTGTTTGGAACGACTTTCTTATTGCTTCTCAAAACAACTTTTTTGTATAAAATTTTTAATTTTTTACTAGAAAATTGCTTTAAAAACCTATAAAAAAGTCATCCCAAACGAAGCCTTAATTTGTCTAAAATCTATGGCAAGAGAGGAGGAAGTTCAGTTGGAATCTCTTAGCCCTCAATAAAATAAATACATAAAATAAATCAAAGCAAGAGAAACATCCACTCTCTATCTCATTTAAAAAAAAGGCAGAAAATAAGATGAAAATCAAACCTCAAACACATTAAACAATTAGAAAGATTAATATACAGTCACTAAGAGAAATTCCCTCTCCTCAGCCTCTCACACACAAATTGATATTCACATCAATGATGAAACAAATGTAAATTCATCTATATAAATTATGGAACAAGAATGTATAGTCGATGGGCCAAAAGATTATCAGTCAATCTTCAAGCGAGTTCTTTCAATTCAGCGACCCTCAGGTAGTCAAAAGCAACAATCACTGCCACTGCTGCCCATATTTTTTTGGCTTTCCTGCCGTTGTTTCAAAATGTTCTTCTTTCCAATTGCAGAGCCTTCTTCAAGTAGACTGGGCACCTCCAAAATCTATTTTATTACAACCAATCATAATATTAAATTAGTGAAACAAACTCTCCTAATAATAAGATGCTCTAAAATATCAAACTAATAAGTCTTCAATAACAGAATAAAATAAGACAAACTCATGGGCCCCATGGGCGAAACCAACTTCTCTTTTTAGTGTGAGCAAAATAGGATTGCGAAATATATAATCTTATATATGAAATAGAAAACAAAGCTAGCAGGACCTATTTACTAGCAGACCAGTTTTTAACAAGAAAGTAAAGCTAGAAGACCAGTTTTTAAGTCAATTTTCAGGAATGAAAAGTCAAAATATCAATCAGAATTTCAAAATAATTCAAACAGGACCTATTTACTTTGTCCTCTCTTCATGCGTACCTTTTGCGCAAGCTCTTCAAAACATTTCTCCACATTTGCCCTCGTTTTTGCACTGCATTCAAGAAACAAACATCCGTATTCCTGTGCAAAAGCAATTCCTTCTTCTTTCGTTACCACTCTGTCACTCTCCTGATAAATTTGATCAAAACAGTTAGGTTCACAATATTATGAGTGTTAAATATCACATATTTACATATCATAAGGCTCATCCCACTTAGATTATGGAAATTGAGAAACCATAGGAGAATTATGATAGGAAGTACTTGAGTTCGCAAGTAACCCCAAGGGTAATACTTGAGTTTGCAAGCAAACCTAACAAGAATTGGTGGAAAACAGTGGAGATAACGGCTGTTTACAGCAGTCAAACAGTGGGTTACAACAGTTTTTCTTAGGAAAATAGAGAAAACTGAGAGAATCCACGAAGAAATACACTAATAGATGCAAGAAAACAACAAACGATATAAATTTCTTCAATTCGAGAGGAAGAAGAGTACTCTCCAAATCTCTAACAAAGCCTAGAGCACAAACAAAAAAAATCCTAGATCTCAAATTTTAGCAAATCTCAAGCTGCTCAAATCCTAGCCTCCAAAAGACTAATTAAAGCCAAATGAAGCTTACAAAATCCCTAAACAATCCATAATTCAAATTTTCCTTCGTAAACATTGTTTAATTAAACAATGGAAAAGGTTGGCAATTGATAAGTTAAGGAAGTTACAACAAATAGTAAGCCAACAACGAACTATCGAAAGAAAATAAGGACACCCAAGAAGTTCACAGAAATGGCAAAAAGGGGGCTCTTAAAATAGCAGGGATACAGATTACTGATGGGATATTGATAACTATTTTCTCCCTTCGGAGGAATGCACATATAAATTCATCATTCCATTCTGAACTCGCTAGAAGATCCCAATTTGATGTGCTATTTTTCTAAAGGAAATCTTCTTTTTCTCTTAATTCATTTCTCAACCACACGCTATATAACATCAGGATAAACAGTGAAAAGTACAGTAAAAGGTTAAAGGATGTGGATTTGTAAATGATGTGGGATGTTGTTGCCTGAAAACATGACGTCCGCAGATAATTTGCTCTGGGTGGATGTTTATGTGATAGGAAACACTTGTGAAACTCCAGTGAAATTTATCAATTTTAGTATTTCAGCTATATTTCATCATAAAACTCTAACAAATCCAAAGAAAAAACAGCAACTCTTAAAATAGCAGGGATACAAATTACTGATGAGATATTGATAACTATTTTCTCCCTTCGGAGGAATGCCCATATAAATTCGTCATTGCATTCTCAACTCGCTAGAAGATCCCAATTTGATGTGCTATTTTTCTAAAGGAAATCTTCTTTTTCTCTTAATTCATTTCTCAACCACACGCCATATAACATAAGGGTAAACAATGAAAAGTACAGTAAAAGGTTAAAGGATGTGGATTTCTAAATGATGTGGGATGTTGTTGCTTGAAAACATGACGTTCACAGATAATTTGCTGCGGGTGGATGTTTATGTGATAGGAAACACTTGTGAAACTCCAGTGAAATTTATCAATTTTAGTATTTCAATTATATTTCATCATTAAACCCTAACAAATCCAAAGAAAAAACAACAAAACTAGATGAGAATTGATGAGAAACCAAAAGGAAAACACCAAGATACAGTTGATCCTCAATTCAAGAGGAGGATTTATCTCTCCCAACTCTCTAGACCTTGCTAGAGTCCAAGAACACCAAGTAAAAACCAAAATTAGCAAAGGCAAGATAATCATAACAGTAAATCCCCCCCCCCTCACTCCTTAAAGCAAATTAAATAATAAAACGAGAGGACAAAAGAGCCCATGAAACATTAATTCCTCCCTAGCCACACCATCCTTTCCCTCAATTTTCAAATAGTAGGCTCCCCCAAAGGGGGCCGGCTATAGCTTGGGCAGACCCTTGCTCCTCCTTGAGTAAACCATGGCCGACCCCTTGTCTAGGGCTGGCTGAACCAATCCATAATGGACCGGCGGTCTAATACTATGTATGGGAGAAGAGATTATCTTTTTGTTTCACCCTTTAATTAATTACAAAACTGCGACAAAGCATAATATTGACGCAGTGCCCCTAATGGTCCCCTCTTAATGGACAAATTTATATGTTATACTACTAAAGTCTCAAGGGATTACAAGTGAAACTCTTAGGACCTACAAGTAATTTAAGCAAATCTTAGTACCACTTAATAAGCCGAGAATATAATCTATGGAAATATTAGCATCACTAGAGGCGAGAAAATACATACCTTATCAACTTTATTTCCAACAAGCATTTTGATGCAATCCTGATTCGTAGAATACAGTTCTATTTCTTTGGCCCATATTTCTGATAGGTTTGTAAAAGTTTCTCTTCGGGTAACATCATAGACTGAAAGAAGTATAAATAGTTATCACACTATGCATTTAGAATTATATCAAAACATAGAAGAAAATTGCAGGAAGATATTAAAGCAGCATGGGGCAATAGAAAAGGCGATGCAAGCAAGCTGTTTCTCATAAAGGAAACGAAGTACCTTGCTTTATCCAATATTAAAAAGAAAAAAAGAAAAAGTCAAGTAATCAATTTGATCTTTTGTGGATTGAATAAGTCAGTCGGAACAATAACCTTGAGGATCAATGTCATTGTAAAATAAACAAATAAATAAATAAGGTAATTTGCCGATCAAGCATTTTATTGAAAGAGAATGCATACACATTGAAGAGTAAACAATAAAAAAATACAATAATTCTACATAAACCTGTTCACAGGATCCCTTATTTACATCGATATAATTTGACCCATATGATACAAATAATAAGATAAACGGACCGCTTGTTCTCATTAGATCTGATCGTGACCTAATTTTCTTGGTTTAGTCAAGGTGCTCAAAACCAAATGATGACTTGGCTCATGCCATGCCTCGGCATCTAGTATTATAGACCCTTAAAAGAAAGATGTTTCTCACTTTGGGGCATTATCCACCCACCCTACATATTTGCATCCCTAGATTTAGTTCATATCCCATGGTTATTTCAAGTGCATGATCATTGAAACTCAACTTGCCAACTCTCAAAAACTGAGGAATGTAGGGAAGTGCATGCGGCAAGTAAAGACAAAGGATCGTATCAAATGCAGCATGGTCATCAGCCAAGAGTTAGAATTTTATAGTGTAACATATAGAAGATGAAGGGGGGCGTTTGTGAATGTGGTCTGTGTGTGCCGTGGGGATGAGAGAATCGGAGGGAGGTTGAAAGAGAGAGAGAGACTCAAGTGCAATGGCCTAGAATGAGAGAAATTATCATTCTTTGCTGGTAAATATCTAGAATGTGAGAAGAATTTGATGAAAATGGAACATAGATGAAATGGAAGAGAAAGATTTGGTGGACTATATGTATTTTTGGGGATTCTACCATTCTAATATCTCTTCTCATCATAGAACAAACAAGAAAATGTAAAGCAGTTCAATTTCCATATAAAAGAATTTAGAGAAGCAAAAGAAGGTCAATGAGACAACCATATAACACTTGTGGGAAGGGTTTAGCATAATGTGTCAACCATTTTTCAGTAATGAAACCTCTAAAAATTGATGAATCAGTATGCCCCAAATCTCTAATTTATGAATCCTCCCACATTTCTTAGTTTATGAAAGCTTTTTCACACTTCTTATCATGCTTCGTTTCAATTACATCTTTTCCTTCCAATTTCATTTGTATTAATTTCATCATTATCCTTATCCAAACAATTTGGGGACTGCTTTACAAATCTTACTCTATCCATTCACGAGGTGCTACAAGAGGTTTTAATTATAATTTGTAATAATTTTTCACACCTCTTGCTTTGTTTCCTTTCTTCCATACATCTTCCTTCCAATTCTCTTTTGTATTAATTCTATTAATCCATCTAATTGGTGCTGTCTGCCTTGGTTGGACATTCTTAAAACACATAAATCTATTCTCAGTATTTTTTTCGTCAATAATATTGCTCTCACAATCTCTTAAATACACCATCATTCCTAACTTCTATATATATATATATATATATATACACACAAAAAAAAAACATATATTTGGCTATTTGCCATAATAAACTTGGTTCTTAATAAAATTTTTATTGCCCACAACTATCTGACTCATGTAGCATGGATATTCTTTTGTTCTCAAGGCATTATCTTATTGCATGTTGAGTGTGACTTTTTTAATAAGCAATTGATAGCAATTATTAGTTATTACTTTTTCTCAACTACTCATCTTGTCAATATCATATTGGCTTTCAAACTTATCCTTCCATTTACAAGGATTGAGCTCATTAAGTAGGTTTTATGATTCAGTAAATAACAATGGAGAACCAACAAAATTTTGTGTCATAGTATCTTTGGAGGGATTACCATTTGAATTAGCTTAAGTTAATTGGCCTGACAATTTAAAGCAGACAACATCTCATCAAGTGGTATCAAGTTCATGAGATAGCACTCAAATGCTACTGCCTTGCTTGTGACTTAATAAACAGCATAACCTGTGTCCGGCTCCTCAAAGGAACACTTGCTTGCCAAAGAGCCTTGCAGGCTTGCACCTTTCATTCAGCCTATATGGATCTCATTGGACTCCACCACCCTTTTCACTTAAGGGTTTTTTTTTTTTTTCAAAAAATTGATTAACATTTTGAATAGAAGTCGAGTATCAACTTGGCCATTAACATTCCCTTGTTATGCTCTATCTCACAACCCAAGACACGTGTAACTCTACCGAGAGTCAGCAACCTGTTCATCCATGGTATTTGCAAACTCCTCTCTATGTTTGCAACAATCAGTTGCACTGTGATTCTCTCTCCCTTTGTAATGTTTATGATAAATTTTGCTAGAATAAAAAATGTGATGTAAATGATGTAAATAACCTAAACGACGAGGTAAATAATCTAAAAGTGATGAATGAATCAACTATAGAATATCTAGAAACAACAGATAAAATATAACACTGAATTATTTTTATTTAATTGAGCATTAAACACAGCTTGTTAAGCATATTGCATACCTAGAAAGATTCCTTGAGCATTTCTATAGTAGGAACTTGTTATCGTCCTAAATCTCTCCTGCCCAGCTGCCACAAGGTTGAAGGTTAAAGGTTTAATTGGAATAGCAGTGGCGCATGTTCTAAGCTCAAATACTCAAAAACTTTAACTTCTTAAAATTATACTGAGATTTCATCTGTGAACTAACCAGTGTCCCATATAGTAAGCTTCAGTTTCTTCCCACCAACCATAAGATGCTTAATTTTGAAATCCACACCTGAAATAAGGAAGAATTTTGGATTGGGAGATCTAAGCGCACAAAATAAAAATTCTAAAATGATTAATTCCAGAAAACATCTACTATCAGCCATAACCAAACACTAGGATAGTTAGTGACAAGAATTTTATTTTATATCTACAATATAAAATAAAACTACAATACATAGCAGTGTAACAGGAATGCAAGCTGGAGACACCACAATGTCCGTATATACTCGTACTCCTATTTCTAGGACGAGAGAAAGCAGGAAAAAAATAGAGAAAAGAAAACATAAGAAACAAAAAATTTTAAAAAATATTTAACCCGAAAAATAGCTAAACTCTCTTAGCAAAGGCAGGGCATGAATTTTTTAACCCCACACTCCTACCCTTTTCATTCTATATTAACAAACCGCCTATGCCTACTTTCTATTATATATTTATCAATTTTATAATTAAATATTAATCAAATTTTTATTGAGTTTATTCACAAGCTCTGAATCAAACATGAATCGAGCTTTTATAGAGCTTCTTATCGAGCTTAATGTTGAGCTTGTTCACGAGCTTCAAATGATGTTGTTCGTGAACATAAATGAACCGAACACATTAGTGTTCAAGCTTGTTTATTTAATGATCGAATATTTAAAATGTTGTTCAAGTTTGTTTGTTTAGTTAGTTAAACGATCACAAACGAGCTTTAATCAAACCGAGCAATGAGTAGCTCGTCAAACGTTTGGTTCGCTTGTAACCCTAACCAAAAGAGAATATTCCAAGTATATTCTTTCTCATACTTAACATTTAAAAATTAATAACCAATTTTTCGAATTAAAAAATATATATATAACGGGTGAACAGTGCGACGCCAATATTGGCGCCACACTATTCTCCCAAAAGCAAATAGCGAAAGATTTAGCGCTCAGCTGGAGCGACCGAACGACGCCATACGCTTGTTTGGCGTTCGGTTGGAGATGCCCAATCAAGCATCCTTGTCTAAAAGACTCCCATAATTTCCCCCAATTAACGCCCAACAACAAAATAACATCACCATGACATCTTCTTCTCAGGAATTCTCTACACTATTTCATCAACTGCAAGTATTTTTTATCTCCAATATTTCATCAACCGTATGTACAAAGTCAATCAGGCTTTATTTGGTTAGGAGGAATCGTGGAAAATGAAAGAAAAATAGACATTTAAAATTTAATATTTGGTTTTTGGTTCCAATGTAATCAACATGTGACTTGATTTACCTAAGGATTTGAACAAATGTACATTTACATTCACAATTCCTTATCAAACCCTAGAGCAAACGAGAAGAGAAATCATTGGGCCATTGCTCTAACTCACATACACGTATACACGAGAAACAGATATTCAAATTCTGCTTAACCAAACAGGAAATGGACAAAAAAAAATTTTCACTAAATTTATCCTCAACCAAAATATTTAAGAAAAACAGTTTTCAATTAAATTCCTACAATCTTTTCATTATGATTTCCTTTTTCATATTTTTTTCTAGTAATTCCTTAAAGCGAATAGAACCTAAATAACTGTTCGATGACAAATGTCAAACGACTTGTTCAAGAGGTCATCAACAAACTCAGAGACTACTCATGCCCGAGCTACAGCAGGTTTTTTTCCCGGGCAAATCCCCTTCACCTCTGGTAAAAGGCACCCACCATCAACTTACACCATTCCTAACGAACAAGACATACATCAACCAAGCTAATACCCATAAATATCATAGCGGATAGATATATAGAAAAATTGTCCTAACAAAAACAAAATTGAATTCACTTCGTCACAGCAGTACGCACCGATGGTGGGCGTTAGATCCTCGACATAGTGGGAGATGAAGGTGACAAGCAGGCTGCTCTTTCCCACCCCTGAATCGCCGATGAGAAGGATCTTGAAAGAGTAGTCGTAGCTGCTTCCCTGTCCGGTAGGCGAACCCATCAATCTCCGGGTTCAAAAAGCAAAAACCTCCTCCTTATCACCCTCAACTTATCGTCTTCCTCCTGGATGCCGCTGGTGATGGGGCAGATAAGTTGCTAGGGGAAAGCGAAAGCATGAAAAGAATTTCACAGGGCGAATTGCACAAAAAATCTATGAGAGGACTTGAGCAATTAAGAAGGAGAGAGGAGACAAAAGCAAAGCATCGGAATCTATTCTTTCCAGTGGAGAGGGAGAAGACGAAGAAGGTGACATATGGACGCTTTTCCTTTTCTCCGTGGCGCTTCCCTCTCTCTCTCCGCCCCCACGCCATTTCTCCGCCTCCACGTCCGTTCTCCGTCGCCGTTTGGATGTTTCTTTTTATTTCTTTATACAGCTCACGGGCCGGGTTCAGACCCGGTCTCTCTAAACTCAGATCCGATCCAAATAATTTTTGGATCAGGTTAAAGTTCAAATAGGGTCGGGTCAAATCGGATTTGATTCAAGTTCATATGAGGTTAGCTTTTTAGATCTGATTTTAGGTCCATTATAGAATTAGAGTCTGTTTGGAAATTTTTTTTATTGGCAGTAATCATAATTCTATTTATCTGCTATTTTATATCGACTTTTTAATTATTTTAAAAAAAATTGTACGACAACATACAAAATTTTAGTTTTTTTTCTACAATAAATTTACAATCAACTTTAAAAAACTGTAGCTATCTCAAGCAGACTTTTAACCATAATTTCTAAAATATTTTTTTAAAATTTTATTTTAAAAAATATAAATTTAAAATAGGAATTAGAAAACTATATTTTAAACACATTATTTTTTACTAAATATTGTTCATATTAGGAAAGCAATTGAAAAGTTGTTACAAGAAAACATTAGAAAGATATTAAAGTTTTAATGAGTTTGTTGATAACGATATTTTTATTTAGGTCAATTAAGACAAATTCATATATATACTTAAGTTACTAGGGCTATCAAAATCGTGTTACGGGTTGGGTTCAGGTCCAACCCGTAACTGTTGAACCCGACCGAACACGACCCATTATTGCAAACTGGTTGGTTTTTCGAACTTGAACTCGACCTGCTTAAGGTCAAGGTCAACCCGAACCCGACTCGCTTCAGTTATCTTTTACTAAAATTTTATTATTTAATTTGATTTATTTAAACCTATATCAAATTAAACTAAGATTTAATTTAATCAATTTAAGATAAATCAAGCTTAATTCAGTTTGGACAATATTATTTAATATTTTTAAAAATAATATTTACTTATTTCATAAAAATCTTTTAAATCCTCATAAATTAATTAAAAATGTGTCAAATCGGGTTGATTTCAAATTTCAGGGTCAACCAAACCAGACCCATTTTTACAAACGGGTTGAAATCCCCAACCTGAACCTCACTAGAACCCGAAAATTTTCAATCGTGTTTTCAGGTCATATCAAATATTGGTACCCATTCAAGTTAGGAACCAAATACTTCTTGATTGATAGCCTAAGCTCCCAACCAATAGACCAGGATGAGCTCCGTTACTGATATTGTTATGCTTAACATATTTTAAATCATAATATAATCAATATTGCATATAATATAATTAATAGGTTTGTTTAATAATAAGATTGATTAAAAATTATCAATGCACAAAAGCTAATGTGCAAGACAATGGAATTAAACATCATATGACAAATTGTTTTTATTTATTAAAGAATTGCTTTCCAGTTGTAAAATCCAAAGCCTTTAAAGCGATGGGTTGTCAACAAATAATGGCGTAAAAGAATTCTTAGCTTCCATTCAACAAAGTTGCGTCCTTTGCCAACCCAAAAGAAAGCCTTGTTGGTGTGTTTGAAAATGGACTAGGAGCAAAGCTTCAATTGTAAAATAATAAAAAAAATCATAGTAAATCATTTGTCCATATTTTTATTGAACACTTCAACAAAATGGCCCCAATTTGTGACCCGGATGCAAAGTATTCTCACTGTCCTTTTTCTCTAATCTTTTCCTAAGAAAAAAAAAAAAAAAAAACTCTTTCCTCTAATTTTTTATAAAATTAGGCTTCTTTCAGGCTGTCCATTTTTAACGTTTTTACACATTTTTTAGCATAGAAATTTATTGGAAAAACATAAAAAATAATGGCCAAAAGTTGTCGTTAACCGAGCTTTAAACATATCTCTTAAAGTAGGGTTGTCAAAACGGGTCGATGTTGGGTTCGGGTCGAACCCGATTTGACCCGAGTATAAACATGTCAAACAGAACCCGGTATATTTTTACAAAGTGGTTAGGTATTTCAACCCGACACTGACCTGCGTGGGTTATCGGGTTGGCTCGACACAACCCGTAGACCCATTTGAGTTAAAAAACCAGGCAAGTGCATGTCAGGCCAGGTGGTGCAAGTGCGGCTTGCGGGTGTGGGATCTACATGAGCCGGAATGGGTCGGACGGACTAGACGCGGTACGAGATGACCTACAAAAGTGGCGAAGTGCGGAGGACCTGCTGGGCCGAGCAAGAGTCGTGAGACATGGTACGTCGAGCCGACGGCAGCAATGGCCGATGGCTGCGACTAGACTAAACGCAGTTACGTGACAAGCGAGTGCCAATGGACTGAATGGTGGGCGTGACCAGAAGTGCAAATGACAATCATTTTCCTGATTCAAACCAGTTGATTTCGAGTATTCGGGTCAACTCGAACCGACCCATATGATAAACAGGTTGACCCGAACACGTAAATTTCTTAGTCGGATTTTGGGTCGTGTCACATTTTAACACCCCTATCCTAAAGCAATTCATTGTTATGGCATTAACTAATAATGTCAAAATGATTCTACTCATAAAAGTAGGTGCAACTTAAAACTACTTACACTTAGAACACAAATATCATATAATAATAATTTTGTTTTTGGATCTTGTATGCTCAATATTTTATAGACCTGATCCAGGCTTCATTTGAACGGCTTTTTCACTGTTTCTTAAAGCTGTTTTTTATTACATAAATTATAATTTTTGACCTTAAAATAACTTTAAGAAACAATAAAAAAGCCATCCAAAATGAAACCTCTAATAACCTCAATTTAGAGGTCTAGTGAACTCGAAGAATAAGATGAACAAAAATCATAATCTTTTGTGATTCACAATAAATTTAATGGAGTCATCCGAGCTACGTTGAACAATACGAAAGTCATAATTTAGTCGATATATTGAACCCGCCAAACACTTCATGAGCTCACCCAAATCATGATGGTTGGATTTCACAATGAACTCACCAAGCACAATTTACAAAGCGGCAAAAATAAATCATACAAATTTTTTCTTTAAGTGTCTAACTGTCTATTGTCATGGAGAGATCTTCCAAGTCTCCCCTGGCCTAGGAACAATCTAGAGCTCACTCTATTCTTCATAAGTGTGAATTTTTCTAGAACACTTCATAGTATTGCTTACACTTACATAGCTGTATAACATTCTAAAGAGTTTTAGAGCATCTTAGAATACTCTTAAAGCATCCACACTATTCTAGAACATTCTAGAGTACTCAATGACCTTATAGGCCTTCCATTTTTTTTTTGAATCTTATGGAATCTTCTAGATCCTTCTAAAATATTCTAAAATCTTTTAGGATATTCTAGAACATTGTAGAATCTTCCAGAACCTTCTAATGTCATATGACCCTATTTAGGAATGATTCTAGAAGACCTCTTTGCCTCTGCTCGACTTGTTAAATCCAAAGGATTTAGCCAAATTTCTAGTCCCAACATTTGGGTGCGACACCATTCTTGCATGAATTAATCAAAAAAATTGCCTTAAATTAAAGATCGCTTTCTGCTTAGTCTTTCTATTCGTTTAGGTTTCAGTCACATTCTTCTAATACAATACATACTATTGAAAAGAAGCGGCGGCCATTAACTGCTTATATTAACATCTATAACATTTGGATGCAGAGAAACTTAGAATCTTAAGTGCCTGTTTGGTTTAAAGTCATGTGAATGTAAAGAAAATCATTTATATGAGTTCTAAAATTATTGATGTTTGATTGGATTAAAGAAGAAACAAAGTAAAGTAAAAAATGAATGTACTATAAAGTGTTTTAATTCATTTTTTAGGCAAATCAAATAAGACAATTTTGAGTAAAAACTATTTTCATGGCAAGCAATCTCTTGCCACCTCCCGCCTCTGGTCACAACCCCACCCATCATTGGATGCTAAATATCACCGCCGCTGCTTACCGCCACAATTCGTTGGCTACCACCACCATGACCAACCACTGTTGTCGTCAGCTGCTGCCAACACTCTTCGCCAATTGCCTCCAAGCACTACTGCCATGGTCGCCCACCGCTGCCATCATTTTTTGACTTTAATTACATTTATTTTACTTCAAACCATATAAAAATAAATATTCACTTATATTTATTATATACTAATGCAAATAATATCAAAGTATTATTTTTACGACCAACCAAGTAGCCCTTTAGTAGCATCTAGGAATGACTACTTCCAGAAAAAAAAAAACAGAAAGTTTTCTTTAGATAGGTCATCTGCTAGCTCTAGTTCTGTACTATACCAGAAGGCTTAGATTTCGTTTGTGACAGATTTTTTACTGGTTATTAAAGCAATTTTTTTTTACAAAATTTAAGAAGTAATAAGAAAGTTGTCCCAAACGAAACCTTAATTTGTTCTTGATTCAGTTGCTTTCAGATTAATTTGATATTGGCTGACAACTTTAAGCGTTGAATAGCATCTGTGGTTCTAATTCAGATTTCGAATGATCTTAATTAAATTTAATTTTGAAAATATCTAATTCAAATATAAATTAAGATTCATATCCGAACGGGAATATGTTCATGAGGTATCAAATACAATTACTTTTCTTCTATCCTTCTTATGCATGGAGCCTTTGCTAATTAATTCAGCTCGTTAATAATGGTGAATGAGCTGTTGAATAGTTCTTCTTTCTTTCGATGATGATCAATCTCTGCCAGCAAAATGTGAATATTTTACTCTTAGTTGTAATTTAGCTATATCAGACATGATTATTTTCAGCTTTCTGTACATATAATTAAAGGGAAATCGAAGTAAAAAAGAAAATGACAGAAGGAAAAAACAACCACCTTTTTCTTCCACAATATAGGGTTGATGATCAATATTTGCTAAAGGAGAGATTATTATATGCGGTCATCGGACGGTCCAAAGGTCAATCAGGATGAGTCACGTCACCAACACTGTAAAGGCCATTTTGCTCCCAGGTTCGTCCGAACGAAGTCGGATCTTCCGGGACGATCGGTATAGGTTGTGCAGGAAAACATGTTTGGTTGCATGGTTCGTCTGGACGAAAGTCGGATCGTCTGGACGAAAATTTTACATAGCCCAGTCGTCCAGGGACGATAATTAATTTCGTCTGGACGAAATTCATCCAGAGCCACTTCGTCCCGGGA